TCGGCGGGGGCGCGGGGGACGCGGAGCGCGAGCGGCGGGCGCCGCGCCAGGCGGCCGGGCGCCTCCCCGCCCCGCGCACGTTGCTTCCGCCCCGCGCTGGACATGCCCGCAGACGCGGCGAGTTCGCTGGCGACGCCGGACGCGGCCGCCGCTCGGGCTGCCCTCGGCCCTCGCCGGCTCGATTAACTCGGCAGCGCCCGCCCGGCGCCGCTCCAGATTCGCCGGCGGCCGCGGGGAGGGCGGGCTGCGCTGCGCTTCGCTTCGCTTCGCGTGCGACGGGCGTGCGTGTGTGTGTGTGTGTGTGTGTGCGGGGGGCGCGCGGGCGTGCGTGCGGGCGTGTGTGTGCGGGGGGGGCGCGCGCGCCCGCCCGGGAGACTGCAGGCTCGAATGGGGATGGGAAGCGGAGCGCCGGCGTGAGCGGGCGGCGCGCTTTTTCTTTTCGGAACTTCTCCCCTCCTGCAGCCGCGTCTCTTTTATGAAGGGAGAGCTGCCCCTCCCCCGGAGTGGGCCCCCCTCTTCCCCCCCGCCTCGGGGTCCCTTTTGCGCCGGGGGATAAGCGGGACGCGCAGGAGCGACGCCAAACTTCCAGAGGGGCGTCCGGCGAGCGGCGCAGCCCCCCGGGAGGAATTCCGCTGGCTGGAAGAGATGAGGTCTGGCGGATTCCCCTCCCAGCCCCGCTAGCGGAGCGCGGCGCGGTTGTTGCGGGGGCTTCCTCGCTGACGCCCCGCGCCCCGGCGCGCCTTGGAGACATTTACTCGAGACCGGGGCTCCCTGGCTCTTGGCGGCCTCCCCCTTCGCGCTCGTCCTCGACGGAGAGCGGCGGCGGCTTCCGTTTCTCGGTCGGCGGGGGCGAGGCAGCGGCGCGGCCAGGCAGGGACGGCGGCGGCGGCGGCGTCTAAGATGGAGGCTGTGGCGCGGAGCAGCTTCCAGCCCCATCCCGGCCTGCAGAAGACCTTGGAGCAGTTTCATCTCAGCTCCATGAGCTCGCTGGGCGGCCCGGCCGCCTTCTCGGCGCGCTGGGCGCAGGAGCTGTACAAGCGCGAGCACGGCAAGGAGCCCGCGGCGGCGGCGGCGGCGGCGCCCCCGTCCTCGGCGGAGCCGGTGCTGCACTTGCCGCCCATCCAGCCGCCGGCGGTGATGCCGGGCCCCTTCTTCATGCCCTCGGACCGCTCGACGGAGCGCTGCGAGACCGTGCTGGAGGGCGAGACCATCTCGTGCTTCGTGGTGGGCGGCGAGAAGCGCCTCTGCCTGCCGCAGATCCTCAACTCGGTGCTGCGCGACTTCTCGCTGCAGCAGATCAACGCCGTCTGCGACGAGCTGCACATCTACTGCTCGCGCTGCACGGCCGACCAGCTCGAGATCCTGAAAGTCATGGGCATCCTGCCCTTCTCGGCGCCCTCCTGCGGACTCATCACCAAGACGGACGCCGAGCGCCTCTGCAACGCGCTGCTCTACGGCGGCGCCTACCCGCCGGGCCGCTGCAAGAAGGAGTACCCGGGCGGCGCGCACGGGGGCCCGCTGGAGCTGGAGCTGGAGCTGACCGAGCGCAGCTTCAAGGTGTACCACGAGTGCTTCGGCAAGTGCAAGGGACTGGTGGTGCCCGAGCTGTACAGCAGCCCCGGCGCCGCGTGCATCCAGTGCCTGGACTGCCGGCTCATGTACCCGCCGCACAAGTTCGTCATCCACTCGCACAAGTCCCTGGAGAACCGGACTTGCCACTGGGGCTTCGACTCGGCCAACTGGCGCGCCTACATCCTCCTCAGCCAGGATTACGCCGGCAAGGAGGAGAAAGCCCGGCTGGGCCAGTGCTTGGACGAGATGAAGGAGAAGTTCGACTACAGCAACCGGTACAAGAGGAAAGCGCCCAGGGTGAGTGCGCGGCTGCGCCCCGGCTCCGGGCTCGGGGGTGCGCGGAGGGCCCCTTGGGGAAGGGGCGGCCGGGGGCAGCCTTGCAGCCGGCCGTGAGGCGCCCCCCGCGGGGAGACCTCGTCCCGCCCGCCAGGTGGGCTTCCCCCCTCTTTGAAGGCAGCGGGTCTGGTCCAGGCCGGCCGCAGCGCGCTCCCCCCAGCCCCTTGGGGTCACCCCTCGGGCGGCCGAGCGCCCCGTCCGAGCAGGGGTGCTGTGGTGGCGGCGGCCGTTCAGAAACTCAGCTGCAGGAGTGCCACCACCGGCCGAGCACGGCCCCGGGGACTTGCGGAGCCGGAACAATGTTCAGGAACAGTCTCAGGCCCAAGAGGGATCCCTTGGACTCGGGATCCGTTGCGCCCCGCAGGGAGGGCTTTATCTCGCTTGGTTTATTGTTGGTTCAGGCGGCTGATTCCAGGCAGGTCCCGTGTCCTTGGCAATCAGTCTTTTGGTTTTCCCTGGTGTCCCCCCCTTTTTTTTATTGGAGGTGGGGGTGACTCTTACTGTTTCGGACTACCAGTGTTTGCTTCTGGAGTTTGTCTGCACCAGTAGGGCTGGAGCCAGCTTTAACCGCCCGCCTGCCTCGCCTCAGGCTGTTCCTTTGGCTCTGTGCATTCACTGAAAGACACGTGCACGCTATGCCATAGTGCAGAACCAAGGAATGGGGGCTGATCGATAGACGCCCCAGACTTCTCTCCAGAAGTGTGCCGACATGGGGGGCGCGATAGCTGAATAACCTCGCCAGCTTCCAAAGCGCGGCATTGGCAGTTAACCAGATTGATTTTATGCTGCAGCAGTTCGGTGTGCTTGCAAATCGTGTCGGCGCCTGTTCTGTGTGTGCTGACTGGATTGTGTCTTTTGGATGCCCACTAATGTCGGGCCCAGAAAGTAGCTTGTGTGTGGGTTATATACGAATGCAGGAAACGAACGTGTCTGGGGCAGGGTGCTGCTGCTGCTGCAGCTTTCAAATTATGCCAGGCGATTGTGGAACCTGCCCAAGCAGGCAGCTGAAAAGTGCATGGGTACAAGATAGTCTTTATTTAGTCCGCAGCTTTCAGTTCCCAGAATCCCTAGGGTTGGTGGTTGGGGGGTAAGGGAGGCCATGCTGCCTTGGCACTGGTCAGCTCAAAGGCTAGGAATGTGGCGGGCCTCTGGAAGGGGCAGAGAGAGGATATCCGACTAGCCGGGCGCATGTAATGGGCGAGCAACAGAATGCGAGATGTACCAACATGGAGCACTCCGGCCGATTCGTTCAGTGTGTAGAGCTCCTTGGGCGACGTGGAATCGTGGAAATTTGCAGCAGGGAGACTTGTTTAATGCTGCTTGAGGCATGTCCAGTGAAGACTTTTCCCTCTTTTAAACTCCCCCACGCCTGTTTTGGAGAAAAATGTGCCCACACACATCCAGGCAGGCCACAAATAAACAAGCGAAGAACCTTAATCACAGCCCCGCTTCCCCCACTTTTAGCACAGAGAAACCAGTCCCTGTTTTCTCCTCCAGAGCCTGGGTTCAAAAGCTGTGGCAGGAACGCTGGGAAGAAGGAAGGACCCGCATAATCTCACACGGCAGAGGAGGATGTGTTCTTAACGCTTGTCTATCTCCAGCTAATCATGTGCTAAAAGTGGCAGGTTGGGGGCTGACAGTCATTATGGGTATGAATGGGGAGAGGAGCAGCAGTGGAAATGGGTGTGTGTGTGTGTGTGTAAAAAGAGGGACTTCTTTTTGAAGGCTTGCATTCCATTCTGGGCCACACAAGCAAGGGGTCGTTCTCAATCCAAAATCTTGGGTGATGCAGTAGGATCTTATCTGGGGCTGTTGGAATCAGCCATGTATATTCATCCCTTGCCCCCTTTCTTTTCAGTTACCATTTCAATTACATTTTAATGCATGCGTTGTGAATGTGGAAAGTAGCAGAAGCTGGAAGTGAAGTTCTCAAACTGACTTTGAGCTTGGTGATGGAGTGTTGGGGTTTTGTTTTTTTCCTGGATATGGATGGCTATCCTGACATCATTCGATGCTAAAATTGCGTCTGTCAGACTGTTAAGTGTCAGGCCGAAGGGTGAATTTGCCGGTAGACCTCTGTGTAATTTATAGCGGCCAGGCAAGGGTTTCTGCCTCTAAGTTACTTACCTATAGTAGCAATAAAATCACAGCCTCCCCCTCCTTTACCACCCTAAATTATACCGCTGAAATGAATTAAGAAAGGCTCAGGATGAACGGGCGTGCATTGTTATGAGAAAGGGCTGCGGACCGTCTGTGTTCTCCAGTGCCGGCTGGTGCAACAGCGTCTTCCCAAGCAAAATTCAGAATGGGCTGAGAATGGATTGCTTTCGAGAGTGCCTCTTTTGCCCCTGGAGACCCTGCGGTTCCAGAAAATAACAGTAGATCTTACGGAGAAGAGACCCTGTAAGCTCCAGCCTGTGTACCAGCGAATGTGGCCAGAGTTGATGTCGGACTTTCAGCTGGTTCTCGGAAAAGCAATGGTGTGGAGTTGATCGGGCAGGGGGGTCAGGTTTGACCAGGGAAAGAGGGGGGGATTGTCCCTCTCAGAGATCTGGGGGAGATACTTGTGCTAAGGGAGGGAAGGACTTGAGCGGGGGTGTTGAAACTCTCAGGGCTGCTTTTTGTGGAATCGTTTCCTCTGACTCAGAGTGTTGTTTGAAGTCTCTCCAGCAAGACAGAAATAAGGAGCATTTGCTTTGGTTTCCAGAAGCTGTGGCAAAGCCGAGAGGCCATGTGTACAGATGCGAACAGCTTGGTCTGAAAGACTAGGCTGGAACTCAAGAGCTTAGGCTCGGTTTCAAGGCTTTGGATTCAGCCATAGACCCTTCTGCTTTACTCTTGAGAAGACCTTTGGCTTGGCTGCTTGGCATTTCAGGCAAAGAGTGGCTTCTCTCACGTTTGGGCTCCGTTTGCCCAAATTCTGGTTCTTCCAGACATGGCCAACAGAACACCCCATGCTAAGATGGTTTCCCATTGCAGCGTCTACGCATCCAGAGGGTAAAAGCTCGCTAGCTTCAGGGTTGTCGGATTGTGGCCAGAGGCAAATGCGATTTGGGTTTTCTTCGCGAGGCCGTGGTGCGAATGGGGCGAAGGAAACCCACTTCATCCTCTGCTTGGTTGCTCGTATTTACCTGTTTTGACTGCTGCCAACTCAGCTCATGCTTCACTGGGTGCATCTGCGTGTTTCGATTACAGCTGTCCGTAAACCTCGTGTCCCTCTGTGCGGTTTGCGCTGCGTGCGAGTTGTCACCAGGGTGTCTCTGCTTGGAGGTGTCTCCATTCCTGGGTGGGAGTAGCATGTTTTCTATTTACGTGCAAAGAGAAGAAATTGTTGCTCGCAGCAGCTGCTGCTGCGGCAGTGCTTGTTGTCGTTTGTCTGTGGAGATACTTCCCTGAAGCAGCCCTGTGGACTGGCCTCCTGGAGTGGATCTGTGTGAGTTGTATCTTTTTGTCCTCCCGGAAGACTTTCTGCAGGATCCCCAAAGACGATAATCGGCGGGGAGGTGGAGAACCGCGGCTTGCCAAATGGGGTCGGAGTCACACCTTCCATCAGCTCTAGCCAGCAGGGGGGATGATGGCTGTTGTTGTCCAGCATCGTCTGGGAGGTGCAAATGCTTGCTGCTTGCTTGCCAACTCCCAGGGGTGCTTGGCTTTGTCAAAGAAGTGCTGACGCTGGGGATCTCCTGGGCTGGTCTCCTGCATCAGGGCAATTCTCGCAAGACATCATGGGTGTGCTTCGGGATGGGACGGGCTCCGTAGGGATGGGAGCCCTGCCATAAAAGCAGCAGCCCTCAGAGGGGAGGGCGAGTCCGCTGAGTTTAGCCCTTCCCAGCCCTGCTCGGTTTCTGCATGCAAGTTGTTTGCTTTCCTTGGGCTTAATCATTCCTACGTGGACATCTTGAGTCCCCCTAATCCCCTTCACCTTCTGGACTTTGTTCGTTAGCTTTGTTCCTAGAAAATGTGCTGCTCGGCTTCCCTGCACCCTTCCCCTTCCCCTTCCCCGCCTGCTCTTCTCCAGCTTCTGCCTCTTTCCCAAAACCACAGCCTTGGAAATCAAAAATGCGTGCAGGGCTCTGACCGGTTCTGCTGGAAGCAGGGCTGTTCGTTCTTAATTTTTAATGTGTGGAGGGTAGGACCCCGTTCTCTGAGGGCTGTAAGGTAACAGCTGGCGGCTCTTGCGTTGCGGGACTGGCCTCCATGACCCTCGTCCTCCCGCCTCTTCCCCATCTCCCCTTCCCTCCCGCTCATGCTCTTCTCCGCGGCCTGTGCGACGTGCGCCTCCTTCGCTACTCACACGTCGTCTTGGAGTGCGCGGAAGAGACCTACCTGCTGCCTGTCCCTCACCGGCCGGCCCAAGTAGCCCTGGCATTCATCATCCGATAGGGGTCCCCGCAGGGAATGCTATCTACGGCCCCCACATCGTGCATAGCCTGTGGGGTCTTCTTGCCAGGTGCCTGCTTCTCGCCAGGGGTGTGCAGGGCTCCTGGGACAACCGCATGCCTAATTATTTCCCTCTGCATGCGCTCCTTGGGGAAGTGCTGCCCCTTGCAGCATTACCTTTCCACCTGGGCAAAGCACCCCAGGCAGACATTTTCATTGCACCTGGGTAGAGAAACAGTGGTCTGGGGAACAGCCCTCACTGGATGGATGGGAAGAGGAAGTGACGTCTGTCTGTCTGTCTGTCACACATGCAGCGCGCACCCAAGGCGTGGCATCCTCCGGGGTTGACGGCCTGCTTGGGAAGGTCCTGTGCAAACTGTCCCAGCTGAGGAGGTTCCTCGCCTGCACCGAGGAACAGTCCCTTCCAAGCCAGTGAAAGGCACGTCAGGCAGAGACCAAAGGGCGGAAGCCTGTTCAGGCTGGGCGACCAGCTTTTGGGGCACACTAAGGATTGCAGTCTCTGTGAACTTGTGCGGCTGTCGGCTGTGGCATGCATGCCAGAAGTGGAGGGTGCGCATCTC